GTAAACTGAACACACTAAGATAACACAGACTTTCAAAGTAAAACAGGAAATACATGACAGTCACGCAAAAAACAAAACACTGACAACACCGAAACGTAACAATGTCTACAACATCTAACAGCACTATGTTGGTAATTTGTTAGCTACATTAGCTGCGAGCATACACATTGTGATGTGAGAGATTTATGATATTTGGAGTGTGCAGTTAGTGTGTAGTGTAGTCAATAGCTTTGTTGTGTGTGTCGAAACAATGATGCAACTGCTGAATGTCACAGTTGCTGCCAAAAAGCCACCAAAGGCAGATTACAGAGCAAATGCTGTCGCCAGGTGGAGTGATACACCTCCGGCTGTCAGGCCTGAGGCTAAAAAAAAAGAAGAAGATACCAAACAAGGCAAAGTAAACTTTTTCTTTTTTCTTATAAATATACATCCTCTCTGGTTACTCTGGTATGAATGACTCTCAAGTACTTTATGGTAAATAATACAATATTGGAGATATTGGAGAAATTCTAGATTGAAGCCTTTAGTTCAACATATAAATGATTACCTTTGACCTTAATCGGGTTTAATTTAATGCTGTCAGAGAAAATCTCATGTGCTCTTCATGCAGCTGAAGCTGTGCATGTCTGAGATCAGCAGCTTTCTGAAACAGCAAACTAAGTTACTGGAGAATCTTGTCTTCGCTATCGTATGTTTTACTACTTCGATTTCAGCGTCTTCACCTCACAACTGAAACGTGCAGTTTACTTTGTGTGCACTCAAATGTAGGCAAGTCAACTAGCGCCACCTGTGGCCAAGTGCCACAGTGCATGAAGTTGATAGAGCCAGATTACCTTTTGACAAACATCTGGCTCTGGCTCTATCAACTTCTCTTTGCTCTTGACGAAGGCGGTCGCACTTTTCTCCTCTCCTTCTCCTCCCCCTTAGCTTCCCTGCTTAGCCTCTTGTGTCCTTGTCTAGTCTCGTGTTTGTTTGTATTACTTTCCCTGGAACAGTCTCTCACAGTCTGTTCTCTAAAACCTAAAAGAGGATTTACGGATTTGATCAACTGGTCCCTAAATGAAATTGACACCCTTTTCTCAACGAGAAGTCTGGGCTCGGGTGAGCCTGAGTGCGGAAGATATCTACCTATTCGGAACCATGGTAACAGGGTTCTTGCTGATCGGAGCTGGCTTGGCCCTGACTTATCGAAGAATTAAGGAAGCGGAACCAGCTGTTCAAACCCCAACAAGCCTGGATTGTTTGGGCCTCCTAAGCGAAGCAGTTGTTTTGTTTTATGTTTTTTTTTTACTTGCGCCGTCAACTGCTTAATAAATTTAAGAAAATCCACTTTGAGCATATTTTTCTTTTCTCTCTAAATGAACCCAACATTGATCGTCACCAGTTAATGTGTAACAGCAGCAGGGATGCAAAAGATGCAATCGGGTTTTTATTAACCCTCACAATCAGAAACGTCCCGCAGAGCTGTGATCAGGATGCTCCCTCAGAGGGACACTCACCTGTCCTGTGCAGCTTGATTTGGGGTTTCCAGGTGATATCCAGCAGTCTGCGCTGACGGTCGATCTCTTCCTCGTACTGGACGATCGTTTTTTCAAACTCCAAGAATATTTGTTCAGCAGCAGCAGTTAGTCGCTCGTTGATGAACTCTCTC